ACATTCACTGATTTACATATTATTGCTTCAGTGAGCTTAAATAGAGCTCCAGGGAGCTTATAGAGCCTTAGTGAGTCTATAGTCTTAATGAGCTTAGAGAGCCTTACCTTAATAGAGCCTTTGTGAGCCTATATAGAGCCTTGAGCCTGTATAGAGCCGTAGTGAGCCTATAGTTCTCTAGTGAGAAAATTAGAGCCTCAGTGAGCCTATGTAGAGCCGTAGTGAGCCTATAGTTCTCCAGTGAGGACATTAGAACCTTAATGAGCCTATATATAGCCTCAGTGAGCTTTATGCAGCCTTAGTGAGCTTATATAGAGTCTTAGTGAGTCTATATAGAGTTTTAGTGAGCTATATAGAGCCTTAGCCTAGACAGAGCCTTAATGAGCCTATATAGAGCCTTAGTGAAATTATATAGAGCCTTAGCGTAGATAGAGCCTTAGTGAGCCTATATAAAGCCTTAGCCTATATAGAGCCTTAATTGAGCTTAGTAGAGCCTTAGCGTGCCTATATAGAGCCTTAGTGAGCCTATATAGAGCCTCAGTGAGCTTTACGGAGCCTTAGTGAGCTTATATAGCCTTAGTGAGTCTATATAAAGCCTTAGTGATCTATATAGAGTCTTAGCCTAGATAAAGCCTTGATGCGTAGGGAGACACTGGTCAGAGAAATAGCAAACATCGAACTCAAGCTAAAGGAATCTTATAGGAGTCAGGAATCTCGGGAAGAACTAAAAGTCATAAATGAAATCGAAAGAAACCCAAAGTATTTCTTCTCCTATGCCAAATCAAAGTCGAGAACAACGTCCAGTATTGGGCCCTTACTTAAACAAGATGGGTCCTACACAGATGACAGCAAGGAAATGAGTGAGCTACTCAAGTCCCAATATGACTCAGTTTTTAGCAAGCCGCTAACCAGACTGGGAGTCGAAGATCAAAATTAATTTTTTATGAGAGAGCTACAAAATTTAATTAACACAAGCCTATCCGATGTTATCCTGACGCCAAATGACTTTGAACAGGCGATAAATGACATGCCCATGCACTCTGCCCCAGGGCCAGACTCATGGAACTCTGTGTTCATCAAGAACTGCAAGAAGCCCCTATCACGAGCCTTTTCCATCCTATGGAGAGGGAGCATGGACACGGGGGTCGTCCCACAGTTACTAAAAACAACAGACATAGCCCCACTCCACAAAGGGGGCAGTAAAGCAACAGCAAAGAACTACAGACCAATAGCACTAACATCCCATATCATAAAAATCTTTGAAAGGGTCCTAAGAAGCAAGATCACCACCCATCTAGAAACCCATCAGTTACACAACCCAGGGCAACATGGGCTTAGAACAGGTCGCTTCTGCCTGTCCCAGCTACTGGACCACTATGACAAGGTCCTGGATGCACTAGAAGATAAACAAATAGCAGTTGTAGTATACACAGACTTTGTAAAAGCCTTCGACAAGTGTGATCATGGCGTAATAGCGCACAAAATGCGTGATAAAGGAATAACAGGAAAAGTTGGTAGATGGATCTATAATTTCCTCACAAACAGAACACAAAGAGTAGTAGTCAACAGAGTAAAGTCCGAGGCAGCTACGGTGAAAAACTCTGTTCCACAAGGCACAGTACTCGCTCCCATCTTGTTCCTCATCCTCATATCTGACATAGACAAGGATGTCAGCCACAGCACCGTGTCTTCCTTTTCAGATGACACCCGAATCTGCATGACAGTGTCTTCCATTGCAGACACTGCAAGGCTCCAGGCGGACATCAACCAAATCTTTCAGTGGGCTGCAGAAAACAATATGAAGTTCAACGATGAGAAATTTCAATTACTCCACAAAACAGAGTGAAAAACCAACGTCAAAGACCTGGGAGTGATCATGTCGGAGGATCTTCCCTTCAAGGACCAAAATATTGTATCAATCGCATCTGCTAGAAAAATGACAGGATGGATAATGAGAACCTTCAAAACTAGGGGTGCCAAGCCCATGATGACACTCTTCAGGTCACTTGTTCTATCTAGGCTGGAATATTGCTGCACACTAACAGCACCTTTCAAGGCAGGTGAAATTGCTGACCTAGAAAATGTACAGAGAACCTTCACGGCGCGCATAACGGAGATAAAACACCTCAATTACTGGGAGCGCTTGAGGTTCCTGAACCTGTACTCCCTGGAATGCAGGCGGGAGAGATACATGATTATATACACCTGGAAAATCCTAGAGGGACTAGTACCGAACTTGCACACAAAAATCACTCACTACGAAAGCAAAAGACTTGGCAGACGATGCAACATCCCCCAATGAAAAGCAGGGGTGTCACTAGCACGTTAAGAGACCATACAATAAGTGTCAGGGGCCCGAGACTGTTCAACTGCCTCCCAGCATACATAAGGGGGATTACCAATAGACCCCTGGCAGTCTTCAAGCTGGCACTGGACAAGCACCTAAAGTCAGTTCCTGACCAGCCGGGCTGTGGCTCGTACGTTGGTTTGCGTGCAGCCAGCAGTAACAGCCTGGTTGATCAGGCTCTGATCCACCAGGAGGCCTGGTCACAGACCGGGCCGCGGGGGCGTTGACCCCCGGAACTCTCTCCAGGTAAACTCCAGGTAATGAACCTATATAGAGCCTTAGTGAGCTTATATAGAGCCTTAGCCTAGATAGAGCCTTAGTGAGCCTATATAAAGTCTTAGTAAGCCTATTATAGAGCCTTAATGAGCTTAACAAAGCCTTAGCGTGCCTATATAGAGCCTTAGTGAACCTATATAGAGCCTTAGTGAACCTATATAGAGCCTTAGTGAACTTATATAGAGCCTTAGTAAACCTATATAGAACCTTAGTGAACCTATATTGAGCCTTAGTGAATCTATATAGAGCGTTAGTGAAATTGTATAGAGCCTTAATGAGCCTATATAGAGCCTTAGTGAACTTATATAGAGCCTTAGTGAGATTATATAGAACCTTTGTGAGCCTATATAGAGCCTTAGTGAACTTATTCATAGCCCTAATAAGCCTATATAGAGTCTTAATGGGTTTATAGAACTCCAGTGAGAATATATAGAGCCTTATGAGCCTATAGAGTTTAATGAGCTTATATAAAGCTTAGTGAGCCTATATAGAGCCTTAGTGAGCCTCTATAGACTCTTAGTGACCCTATATAAAGTGTTAGTGAGCCTTTATTGAGCTCCAGTGAACTATATAGAGCCTTACTGAACCTATATGCAGCATAATGAACTTATATAAACACTAGTGAGCCTATAGGGCTCTAGTGAGCCTATATAGAGCTTCAAATTGTAAATAAATAAATAAAATAAATAAATAAATAAATAAATAAAGAGCCCAAATTCAGAATCATTGATCGCATGTCCGCGATGTCCGAAAGCCGGGTTCATTATTCCGCAAGCCGGGTTCATTATTCCGCAAGCCGGGTTCATTATGGATTACAAGGCAAGTCCATATGTAGATAAATTTTCTATTAAGCAAGAAATCTTACATTTCCACACTTTCACCTATAGTTTGAGCTTTACGGAGTATATATTGAGCCTTAATGAATCTATAGAGAACTTTAAAGAGCTTTAATAAAGAATTAATTACCGTGCTTGTGCCACTGTCTGCCCACCGGGTTCATTAGGGCTTATGAGAATCGTTCGTATTTATGTGGATAAATTCTTTATTAAACAAATGAACGTTCATTTCTACACGTTTTGCTATAGACAGAGTTTTAGGGAACCTACAAAGAGCCTTAGTGAACCTATAGAGAGGTTAAAAGAGGGTAGATGAAGAAGTATTGATCATAATTCCACGACGGTCCGCCAGTCGGATTCACTAAGTGGACAGTCTCTACTACTGAAAACAAACACATTAAACATATGTTTCCACAGGTCCTCTTATAGATAGAGTTCACATGATCCATATAGAGCTCTGGAAAATCTATATATAGGTACAGTGAGCCTATATAGAAATTAAAAGAGCCCAAATATATGGTTAATGACAATATTTCTTTAACTGCCCGCCAGGCGGGTTCATTAATTTGGACCAACTCTATTAAGTAAATAAACATGCACTGTTACACGTTTATATATATATATATATATATATATATATATATATATATATATATATATATATATATATATATATATTATATATATATATATATATATATATATATATATGAAGCTCTAGTGAATATATATAGAGCTCTAGTGAGCCTATATAGACCTTAAATGAGCCTAAATATAGGATTATTGACTATATTTCTGCTGGTTCATTAAGGCCAGTGAAAACCGTCGGTAAAAATACCGACAAATTCTCGATTTAGCAAATCACACTTACATTTGAATACTTTTTCTATAATCACAGCTCTTTTGAATCTATATAGAGCATGACAGAACCCAAAATAGGCTTATTGACCTTTCCTGACAAAAATTCGACATCCAGTTGCGTCCAGACTCAACAGTTGAAAAATATGAGAAAAAGTGCGTTTTAGACAAAATGAAATACATTTCAACATTTTTTTCTATAGATAGAGCGTTTTCTCACACGCGGAGAGCTAAAAAGACCTAAATAAGAGCTCATAGAGCCTATATCTCCAAAAGAATTGCAATACAATTTCGTCAGGAGGGAGACTCGGAAAAAAATCTAAAAAAAAAAAAACACATTTTTGGGGGGGAAATAAACTACATTTATAAAGGTAGTCCTATACGAAGAGCTTTCCTAGACACGTATAGAGCTTAAAAGAACATAAATAAGAGCTCAAAGAGCCTCTTATCTTCAAAAATCTACCATTCAATTTCATGAGGACCTCTCAAACCAGTTGAAAAATGCATTTATAGGCTAAATAAATTACATTTCTACACTTTTACTACATACAAAGCCTTGTCACACCAACATAACGCACAAATTAACCTAAAAGAAAAGAGACTATAGGCCGATAAAAGGCAAAAAAGTGGTGAAGTAAGGTGCGCGAGGCTCGGGCCGCAGCAACCCACCAACCCAACAAAAACAAACTTGCCGGAAGAGAACTTCGGTGAGCGTCTCCTTATTGACCCGCCATTATTCACCTTATTTAGGGCCTTTTTATTGCCCTTTTGTCTTTTTTAGTGGTAATTATCATCTATTATCTATCTATTTATGAATGTTGATGCGGAGGGTAGATGAAATGTGGGAAGTTGTGGAGATATGAGGCGATTTAGGTGAAGACAACCAGGGGGGTCGAAAGACAAACAGGGGGTCTTGAGAAACCCAGGGTCTTGAAAAAACCGGGCTTAAAGAAACGGGGTTTGACAACAGTGGTTTTGAAAAAACCAGGTTTGGGGGGTCTTAAAAACCCAGGGGGGAAACCCGGTTTAAGACAACCGGGGTTTTGAAGAAAACATTTTTTGAAAAAAAAAAGGCGAAAAAGGGTTCTTGAAGAAAACCAGGGGTCTTAAAGAAAAAGGGGTTTTAAAGCAAAAAAGGGGGTTTTTTTGGACACCCCCCCCCCCTTTGAAAACCCCCAGGGTTTGAAAACCCAGGGGGTTTTGGAAACCGGTTTCTTAAGCCCAAAAGGGCGAAAACCGGGGTTTTTGAAGACAACAGGGTCTTGAAAACCAGGGGTCTTGAAACACCGGGTTTGGGAAAAAAAAAAAAGGGTTTTAAAAGCAAACCAGGGGTCTTAAAACAGGGCCTAAAACCGGGCTTGAAAACCGGGCTTGAAGAAAACCGGTTTTGAAGAAACAGGTCTTGAAGAACCAGGTCTTGAAAACAAAGGGTTTGAAAACAACCAGGGTCTTGAAGACAACCAGTTTGAAGAAAAACCAGGGTCTTGAAGCACAGGTCTTGAACCAGTGGTCTGAAGACAAACAGTGGTTTGAAGACAACCAGGGGTCTTGAAGACACCAGGGTCTTGAGACAACGGGTCTTGAAGCATGAAACACATGGTCTGTAAGACAGCAGGGTCTTGAAGAAACAGTTGAACTTAAAACATGGTTAAGGACAACCAGTGGTTGAGACAACCAGGGGTCCTTGAAGAACCAGGGTCTGAAGAAACCAGTGTTTTAAGACAACCATGGTCTTGAGAAAGAGTGCAACAAGTGGTATGACAAGAGTCTTGAAGACAACAGGGGTCTTGAAGAAAAGAGTCTTCAACAGAGGGTCTTGAAAGACTGGTTAAGACACAGGGGTCTTGAAGACAACCAGGGGTCTTGAAGAACCTGAATCAAGTCAGGGTCTAAGAGAGACAGGTTTGAAGACAAAGGTTTGAAGACAACCAGGGTCTTCGAAACAGGGTCTTATGAAGCATCAGGGCTTGAAGACAACCAGGGTCTTAAAAACCAGAGGTCTTGAAAACCAGTGGCTTGAAGCAACCAAGGCTGAAGCAACGTTGTCTGAAACCAGGGCCTTGAAGCAACAGGGGTTTGAACAGGGACCAGTGGTTTGAAGAAACAGGGGTCTGAAAAACCAGGTATTTGAAGACACCAGGGTCTTGAACAGTCTGAACAACCAGTGGTTTGAAGACAACCAGTGTCTTGAAGACAACAGGGTTTGAACCGGTTTTGAAGACAACCAGGTTTGTAAGAAACGGTCTTGAAACAACCGGGTCTTGAAGATAACCGGGCTTGAAGACAACCAGGGTCTTGAAGACAAACCTGAGGTACCAGAGCAACAGAGTGGTCTTGAAGAAACCAGGTCTTGAAGAAACCAGGGTCTTAAGACAACAGGTTTTAAGAACCAGGGGTAAAAACAGTTTTAAGACAACAAGAAAGTCTTGGAAACAACAGGGTCTGAAAACAGGTCGTCAAGAAGGGGTCTTGAAGAAACACGATTAAGAAAGGGTCTTAAAACAACATGGTTAGACAACAGGGTTAGCAAGCTATAAACACAGGGTTTGGAAACAGGGTCTTGAAGACAACCAGGGTCTGAACAACAGAGGTTTGAAAACGGGCTTGACACAGGTTTGAAACACCTAGGGAACTGACTGGAACTTGACAACCAGTGGTTTAAGACACCAGGTCTTGAAGAAAGTTTTACATGGGACCCGCGTTTTGAGAAACGGCTGAAAATGCCTGAGACAACCGGGTTTTAGACACAGGTCTTGGAAGACAACCAGGAGGTCTTAAACAACCAGTGTTTGAAAGACAAAGGGGTCTTGAACACAGTGTCTTGAAGCAACCAGGGTTTGAAGACAAGATCGAGCACGGGGTCTTCAAGAAACCAAGAGGTCTTAAGACACCAAGGGTCTTGAAGACAACCGGGGTATTAGACTGGAAACACAGGGTCTTAAGACAACAGGGTCTTGAAGTACAACAGGGGTCTTGACAACAGGGATGAGTAACAGGACGGCGGCTTGAAAACATGGTTTGAAGACATCAGTGGTCTTAAGAAAACCAGGTGGTTGAAATAACCAGGTCTTGAAGACAACAGGGTTCTTGAAAAAGGGTTAAAGGCTTGAAACAGGGTTGACAACAGGGTTTGAACAAAGGGTCTTAGAAACAGGGTTTGAGACAACCAGGGTCTTGAAAATCGAGCACATAGGGTCTTGAAGAAACAGGGGTTTTACAACCAGTAGAAACCTTGAAGCTCAGGGGTGTTAAGATTTAAAGAAACACGTGTCTTGAGACAACAGGCTTGAGCAGTTTAAGACACAGGGTTGAAACGGGTTGGGCCCCGGGTTTTGAGACAACCAGGTCTTGAAGCAACAGTGGTCTTAAGAACCTAAAACAAGGTTTGAAGAAAACTGGACTTTGAAAAGGTCTGAAACAGGGTCTTAGACAAGTCAACAGGGTCTTGAAACACCAGGGGTCTTGAAGACAAACATTTTTGAAGCAGGGTTTAAGACACAAGGGTTTAAACACGGGTCTTGAACAACCAGGGTGTAAAGGTCCATTTTGAAAAACAGGGCTTAAACAGGTCTTGGAAAGCAAAGGGTCTTAAAACAACGAGGGTCTGAACACAGCCGGTTGAAGACAACCATGTTTGAGAAACCAGGGTCTTAAGACACCAGTGTGGGACGAAACCAAGAGGTCTTGAAGACAACAGGGTTTGACAACAGGATTAGAAAATGGGTCTTGAACAACCAGGGTCTTGAAGAACTCGGGGTTTGAAGACTGGTTAAGACAACGGGGGTTTAAGACAACAGGGTTTCTAAAAACAGGTTTAAAACCAGTGTTTAAACACGGGTCTTGAGCAACCAGTGGTTTAAGACAACATGGGTTAAGACACGGGTTTCAAGACAACTAGCTTAACAATAATAAGGTCTTGAAACAACCAGGGGTCTTAAAAATAAGGGGTTAAGCAACCAGGTGTAAGCAACAGTCTTGAATAGGTCTGAAGACAACCAGTGCCTTTCACCATTCAGTTGAAACCTTTAGTCCTTAAACCTGATGAACAACCAGGGTCTTGAACAACAGTCACAATGGCAAAACACTGGGAGTTATCGCTTGATCTTGACAAAAACACGTGCTGTAAGAACAAAGGTATATTTAAAATTCATCGGTGATTGCGGGGTTTGACACTGAGTGTTGTGACAGGGTGCTTAATTAAGGTCTTGAATCACTGTGGGTTCTTCAAGGATGAATGCTGGTCTACCATGGTATCATGTTATTCATTCTTGATTAGTGAGCTAAAATTGAAAATGTGTAGCTTAGTAGTGTATTCTAGTTTACTGGTATGCACTATCTATTGTGGTAAACTAGGCGGTTGTACTATGTCTGTCAATGACTAGACTTTTAAAGTCATATTCTGTAACTATCCATTAGGAGGTAGCTTGGTTGATGTTATCTTCTCATGCTATTTATTCTGATCATTAGCTTCTCTTCATTCTATTCATGCTGGTCTTACAGAAGTGCTGAACTGCAGATGGCTAGTACCAGGCAGAACAGTGTTGTATCAGTGACAAAAATTAGATCGTCAGGTTTCCAAAGCTCACTGTGCTGTTTACGTGTCTACTACTGGTTGTCTATAAGAATTCTTCACGTCTTCATACGTATCTAACAATCTCGGTTCTGACACAGACTTAACAGTCTAAGACAGGCATGCACAGTAGATATACGATAAGAACAAAGTGTTAAACAACAGTAAACAGGACAATTAAAAAAACAGGTTAGACAGTGCAAATTTGTCAGGAGTAACTATCAGGGAGCTGAACAAACCGGGTTTTGACAACCAGGGTGTCTTGAAGACAACAGGGTCTTGAAGACAACCAGGGTTTGACAACAGGGGGTCTTGAAGACAACCAGGGGTCTTGACAACCTGGGGGTCTTGAAGACAACCAGGGGTCTTAACAACCAGGAGTCTTGACAACCAAGGGTCTTGAAGACAACCAGGGGTCTTGACAACCAGGGGGTCTTGAAGACAACCAGAGGTCTTGACAACGAGGGATCTTGAAGACAACCAGGGATCTTGACAACCAGGGGGTCTTGAAGACAACCAGGGGTCTTGACAACCAGGGGGTCTTGAAGACAACCAGGGGTCTTGACAACCAGGGTTCTTGACAACCAGGGAGACTTGAAGACAACCAGGGGTCTTGACAACCAGGGGTCTTGACAACCAAGGGTCTTGAAGACAACCAGGGGTCTTGACAACCAGGGGGTCTTGAAGACAACCAGGGGTCTTGACAACCAGGGGGTCTTGAAGACAACCAGGGGTCTTGACAACGAGGGATCTTGAAGACAACCAGGGGTCTTGACAACAAGGGGGTCTTGAAGACAACCAGGGGTCTTGACAACCAGGGGGTCTTGAAGACAACCAGGGGTCTTGACAACCAGGGGTCTTGACAACCAGGGGGTCTTGAAGACAACCAGGGGTCTTGACAACCAGGGGTCTTGAAGACAACCAGGGGTCATGAAGATAACCAGGGGTCTTGACAACTAGGGGGTCTTGAAGACAACCAGGGGTCTTGAAGACAACCACGGGTCTTGACAACCAGGGGGTCTTGAACACAACCAAGGGTCTTGAAGACAACCAGGGGTCTTGACAACCAGGGGTCTTGACAACCAGGGGTCTTGAAGACAACCAGGGGTCTTTAAGACAACCAGGGGTCTTGAAGACAACCTGGGGTCTTGAAGACAACCAGGGGTCTTGAAGACAACCAGGGATCTTGAAGACAACCAGTGGTCTTCAATTC